TTCTGCGGTGTGTGTGTGGGATGATGGTGGACAAATGAAGCATTTGAATTACAGAAAATGAAGCAGGAATGTCTCCTCTCCTTTTATCTCTCCCTCCCTATCAGCTCTCCCTGACTCTACCTCACCAAAGCCAATACTACCATCCATTACCACAAGTGGCCTGGCTTCCCCTCTGTGCTCTAATTGGAAAGCTGGATGGCAGTAGGTTTACCCAGTAATGGGGTCCTGCAATTTGGTAGCAGAAGTGATCCTGGAGAGACCTGTCTCAATTCATAGAAGAACACAGTTGTGTGCATCCCACTTTGCAGCTCAAGAAGAAAAACCCCTGCATTTTAATACTGCAGCTCTAAGCCTTTCCGTAATTCAAGGTGGCGTCATTAGAGGCTTATTTATTCACCGGAGGCGTCTGCCAGGAGGGAGATGATGCCGCCCAGATCAGCTGTGGCAGTTCACTCTCAGCACCTCCCGCAGAGCTGGAGAAGTGGAAATTACAGAGGAATGGGAAAACATGACAATCATAGCATAGTTACTGAATTAGCACCAAAAGAAAACAACCAGCCGTGTGTAGGTATTGAGGGATGAGTTATAATACGTTGTTCAGAGGGCAGCACAGTCACGACAGTCTGTGATGTTCCAAGAGGAGGAGGAGGTGTAAAAGGGATAATATAGGGCACTCAGTGAGATGCACACTAGGTAAAAAATGATGGTAATGGACTTTGTAGGCTTTCAGGGTAATGTGGTAACCAAGAAATTATCTAAAAGGCTTTTTACAGCAAGGATGAACATCCATGTAAATAATTTGCACTTCAGACATACCCACAATCTTTCTCTAGCCTACTCTAACCAGAGGTTGTCTTTAGTCACAAACGGCAACCGAAGACGGAACTGTTTGGCAAAACACTCAACCTGATTATTAGAAACAAATCTGGATTTGGGACATTTTTAAAGGAAAGCTTGAGATTTTGGAAAATGTGCTTATTTGCTTTCTGGCAAAGATAAATACCAATACCATATATTTCCTATGAATAATTTATTCGGTACACACAATCTAAAAATGACGTAATACGAACAGGATATGTGCCCAACATTTTTTTTTTATGGAGGCAATCATTTTCTGGAGTCTTCGATGGTTGCCTAGCAACTGTTCAGAAAAACTACATAGCCCAGTTTATAACCCCTCGTAAAGCAGTTAATTAACATTTTAGTTTTTTTTTTAATGGTGAGATAGGACGCGTTTATTGATGAGTTTAAGAGGCGCTGGTAGGCAAATGTTGTATGTGATAAAAAGAGCTATATAAATAAATAGCTGTCTTTCCCTGGTATTTTTTATTTATTTTAATATTAATTTGTAGCTTTGCTTCCTTAGCTTTAGTCGGTGTCATTGTAACATCATTGCAGCGCTTTTACGGCAATGATACTTGTACTTTGAGGTCCATGACTTAAACACATGGTGAGTTTTTTTGTACTTGCGCCACTTAAACTGAAATAGTATGCCAAGGTAAGGTCGGTTTCACTATGCTGCTTTCTAAGGAACTACACTGGCCTTAACTAAATTATTCCACGGTATCATTTCAGCTCAAAGAGGAACATAGTAATTGTCGACACTACCTGTAGACTCGGTTCAATTCATGAAATGCAGGTGGATTTTTTTCTCTTTTTCGGTGTGAAATGCAAAGAAAAGGCAGGAAATTATCTGAGTCAGTGTGACCAAAGGTTGAATTCTGAAATGTTGTATGCACATGTTATGCATACTTGCTCTGAGTTTCTGCATCACACTCTTGTTAAAGAGCTATAGTGCTGTCAAGTGAGGTGAAGGTGAAGCTACCTCTAGTCCCATTCACTGTCATAGTCTTTATACAATGTTAAGACTGATTCCTGATAGACTTTTAACACGGCAATTGATGATATTATGTAAACTGTTCTGATCAAACACCACTCATACAAACGTATGCACATTCATATGAATAAGCCAAGTGTGTCATCAACAATCGTAAATCAATCTTAAAATTGCCAAATAATAAGTTTCACCATTAAGAACCAACACTTAAAAGTTGACAAACCATTTTATTTCTCGCAGTCACTCGGTAACCAAATGTTGTCCTTAGTCAGTGTGGTTTTTAAAATACATTTATGTTGCTAATCTGCAATATTCCGTGAATAACCGTGCAATAGGGCTACTACATCTTCAGAACTGTTACAGGCTGTGTATTTTTGTAAATTGTGTAATTCTTTTTTTTTTAATTTAAAAACATTTTTTTATCTTTAATAAAATATTTTTCTGTTTTTTATGCATACTTCTTGTTAAACATTAAGCTGTCTTTGGCTCTTTTTCTGCTGGAACAAATGTACATTTCCCCTCTTTGGACGAATAAAGGTATTCTGATTCTGATTCTAACTGGAAACCCACTTTTAGCCCTCAATATCAATTCTCCATCCTTTGGCCCCTCAGCAACAGTGCTTGCATTGTCTCAGCACTGTTACCTAGCAACGAGACTCACTATACGATCGTGTTTACGATGGGGTTTATTTAATGAGGGACAACAGATGGCAGAATCATATTTTGTTTATGCATTAACTGTGTCCGAAGTCCCTCTATCACTCATTCACTGTTCTCTAGATAATACAACATGTTTCATTCTAAACAGTGAGCAGTACATTGAGATTAAGGACACTGGCAAAAAGAAAATAACCTGTAATCGATTTTGTTTCCATTTTTGTATTTTCTAAAAGTTCACGCAAACTTAAACATATGTTTGCGGTTTCTAAAATAAAAATGCAAATAGTCAAATTGTTGTCTTGCTTCAAACTTAAAGATATTCAAGTACAATCGTTTTTGGAAGATACCAAACAAAATCTTGGATTAGTGTCTGGGGAAGTATATGCTGTTCTTCACAGATATTCCCATTTGTCTATAGTTTGACTGATTTCTATTGATCTTTTATTCTCTTTATTACTTTGTGTTATGTTCTGCTGCAGCAAACATCATTATGCAGTAAAGCACTTCTACAGTAGCTTTGAGCTGAAAGACTGAGGGCTCCTCATCCTAACCTTAGAAAACCTCCCGGTCCCTGCCAGGGAGAGATAGGATCAGTAGACAACCCCAACATTTTCAATTTTGTGCTATCAGACACTGAGGAGATGTGTCAACAGTGGGGTCCTACAGCAAGTAAACACAGGAGTCTGACAAGCAATAACCTAGATTCAACATCGCCTCCAGTCCTCCCACTGAAGGTCCGCTTTCATCTCATTTAGATCGAGATCTTTGGATCAGAGATGACGCCTATCCCCCCGAAACACAAAAAACTCCAGTGATGAGAATGTTCTCATGAGCAGTCCCTCATAACTTTGAGCATTTTGCCGGTTTGCTGCTCGGTCAAAACTCGCAGAGAAGTTTTTTTCCTTGCACCATATAGCTTCCAGTTACAGTATATGAGTAATGATTGTTTTAATGAGGCACCATCTTGTGTTTGACAGTTAGCTATTATCTCTTAATATATCATCAGTGCTCATACAGTCAATGTATTCAGAGTCTTTATGGGCTTTATGTTGAGTAGCAGTGGTAAGGTAGGGGGTCCAGGCCACAAATCAGTATTTTTAGTTCAGTGAAAATGTAAATGTATTCACTCAGGCACATCCTCTGTATTGTTGCCCATAATAGAGTTAGGAGGAGGGTGGCTGCAGCCAAACTGGACAGAGCTCAATGACAAAAGAATACTGTGACATCAAAAAGTGTTGGCAGGTCGAAAGAGGAACTCGTGAATTTGTTGAATCAACTTTTCTTTTGTTAGTTTTTTTTAGCATCAGGAGGGATCAGAGGGTTGAATAGTTTGAAGCCCCAGACGACTGAGAAGCCATTACTGTATGGCACAGTCCACTGCAGAAAAGCTCCCTCTGAGATTCAAATCTTGCAGATTAAAATAGTGTCTCATAAGCCTGTGTATATGTGTGTGTGAAACTGTGCATGCGTGTGTGTGTGTCAGGATTTGTTCTCAGTTGGTTGTGATGAGATGCCTTTGTGGGTGGCTGCATGTGTTTTCAGCGGCCTAAATACCGAAGCTTTTAACATCAAAGCACCGTTAAGATTTAAGTGCATAGAACTTTGCCAATTATGACTGTAAGTGATGTCCAGCAAAGACTGTTGATGAGCTGCACTCACTCAACAAAGACAAAGCTTCCAAAACCACCTTAACTGTATTCTAGTTCCAGACCAATGAATCACTGCCCACGTCTCTTTTTCTTTCACTCATTTAAAAAGGTCTGCTTTTTGTTCTTGTGAATAGCTGTTTGGGAAATGACTGAGCCAAACAAAGGATTTGTGGGCGGGACCAACTGTCTGCCAAGCTCCGTCAGGAAATATTATACATAGTTACAGTCGACGGCTTAATCTTTGCTTACGGTTTACTGTGAAATAATACAAATAATAATGCCCACGATGATATCACTGTTTCAAATGAAGGTTACGTTTATCATGCTCTGTTAGCAGACAGCTGAACGCAGCCCTTCATTACTGTCTAACAAATAAATTGGAAGTTTGGTAGTATGAGAACAAATGCACTCAGTGTGGAATAAAGACAGTGACGTTAGTTGATAAGTTTGCTAATTTAGCTATAGTTCACCAGGCATGTCACTATCTTTCTGCTGAAAATGCAACCATTATTGCAATTATAATCTTTTTTATTATCTTTGTCATTACAGTATGACTTCTAGCTCCTGGTTTGACAAGGGAAAATCCAATCCTCCTCCCCTTTAGAGACTGTTAACATAATGGCAATGTCCAACTGAACCATAGAGACTGAGTATAAGGTACCTGGTATGATTTTACCAAAAGTGAGAGATTATTTAAACATGTTTGGTGTCCCCTTGCTGAAAACCAAAAAAAAAAAATCCAATTTCAACCTTTACTCTCTAATGTAATATACAATATGTATAAATGATGTTGGTGAGCTAGAGGTTGCATTTTTTTTTAAATGCTAATCTTGTTTTTTCTTCCTTTTGTCTAGTTCCACCCAAGATATACGACATTTCCTCTGACATCACGGTAAACGAGGGCATCAATGTGTCGCTCATCTGCACAGCCAGTGGGAAACCTGAGCCAAGCATTTCCTGGAGACACATAACCCCATCAGGTGAGTTCACTTCACCTCTCACACACCTATGCTAATGAATGGGCAAGCGGATGAATGGATGGACAGATGTATGGGAGGATGAATTGCTAGAGGAAATGAGGAGGCATGGACAGGATCAATAGGTGATAGACAGAGGATGAGAGAGGACTGGTAGTTACTTTGCTGATGAAGGGGGGAAGGGATGAAGAAAGACATTGTTGTGGTTGATCCATGACAGAACAGGGGAGGTGGAATGGATAGATGTAATACATATTTAAATAAACATACAATATCAGTGAGACCTGACTATTGAGCTTCTTCAATGCCAATGCCATCTAGTGCAGTGTAACTAATGCTAGAGGCAAAAGTCAATTAGTGGTTTTCTGTAAATCAATTCAATCAAATGGTTCCTCCTACTGACTAACGTTTAAGAGATACAATGACTAGATAAGGGAATAACTTATTCAAATGTCTTAAAATGGCATGTATGCCCTCTCAACCTCAGCCTAACTTTGGGGATAGCTAGATACACTAACAAGGAGCGCACTCGGAGAGCATAAACCTAGGCCAATGGTGCATTCACATGCTTCTAGGATGCTCCCATTGCTTGAGTTGGGAAGTCGTTCTTCCATCCTCTGTGTTTTCAGGAGCTCTATAAGTCATAATGTTGAAACAACATGGATTCCTCTAAGATGTGTTGTATTTGTTTTTAAGTTGTTGTTCAGACCTGAGGGAATTCTTTTTTCCAAATATTCTGAGTCAAGATGAATATATAAAGCACAAAAAGTGCCTGGCATAATAAAATGTTTTCTTTTAGATGACCATATCAAATGAAACTAGCCACTTCAGCAGCATATGTGCGTATTGATTTATCAAAATCATATTAACATATCCTTCAAGCTAGCTGATGACCTCTATATGGTTTTACTTTAAGTAATGCAATCAGTTGAAGAAATAGAATGAATCTATGCTGAATGTGTTCATATGCTGTAGAGCAGTTAGAGCATTAGCATTAATGTTCCTACTTCTAACTTCTATGTTCATTCCAATATGAAATGCCACTCTTTAAACCACTAAGAAACAACAACAGATAAACCAAGCCATGAATTGTGTTGCTCATTTAAGCCAGTGTGTAACCATAGTACATCCTGCTCATGTGTATTAAGGATTTAAAGTATAAAAAACACAGCTCTCTTCACTGCAGGGGGACCAGTGATTTGCTTTGGCAATTTGTACACCATCATTTAAGGTGAATTAACAAAGATTTTTATTTTAATTATCATAATAATGTGTTTAGTTGGCTGCTAGTCAGAGCTCACATACACCATTAAGTGCTTTCCTGCCTTTGATAAACTCATTCCAAAGCGTTTAACTGTTGCTGCAAAGCCCCCACCCAGCCAATGCTAGTCCTCCTTCATTTTCATATTAATGGGTTAGAGCATGCTGTGCTTATCTGATAGCTGTGAGGATGACTGCATTTATCTTATGGCTGTCAAATCCTCCTCTCTGGTGTGCTTGCCCTGATTGCGTTAGGGTAGTTTTCAGAAGATGATCAAAAGAGCCATCCTTAGAGTCCGAGTGGCAGTCACTCATTCTACTTTGAAGTGTCCACACTTTGAAGTATGACGGGAAATAGATGATATGCTGGTCAAATAAAAGGGCCCGGGACTAAATGTAATCACAGACTGTCTCACTTCACATCAGAAAGGAAGCCATTCGCCATGGGATCTTTGAGTCGGGTTTTGTAGTGAGGGCCATTTGTCTAAAGGACGTTGTACAAATGAAAGGTTGTAATAGGCTAATTACCTATCGATGGAAATCCATTCAATCTCTTGCATATGAAGAACAGTCTGCTCCAGCCACTGCACAGGCAACCTGAATGTGCAGCCACATTTATAGAAATATTTATCTTAGTTATGAATTACCCGTCAGAAAGCAGCAGATCTGCAGCCAAACTACTTGAATACTATTTATGTACACATACTTAAAAACAAAAATAAGTAATCGTCTCCCATTACTGAAGTTATATAATCCAGCAATTTATTTTTGTTTTTAAATGGGACAACATTTCTTTATTACGATTTAACTCCTACAATGATATTTTAAAGATTAAATAGTATTGTCATTCACCAAATTAGAAATGTGGATGGTGTTTGTGACAAAAATAAAGCTTGGATACTGTTCCAATTATTATTTTTTATAAAATACAGGTTTATGGGGACAAACTTAGTTTATTAACTCAAAATGTGCAAGTGTATTGGATTAAGTTAATCTATATAAACTACTTGTTAAAAAAAAAAAAAAATGGGTAGGAAGGGGATAACAACTTTCAACTTTTATATATTTTTCCCTACAAAGATTTTATTTATTAACATAACAAACCATGTTTTGAATCATGAATTGCTTTAATATCTGATCATATTGTTACACCCCATCATAAAACCTGTGTTGTTTGTACCTGGTGGAAGAAATAGCTTTCAGTGACGTGAGGCCAAGCAGGTGAAATGGCTATAAAGTGACAAACGTGTCTACATGGCAGGTTTTATTTGTGGACCTTACTCTCTTCAACACTCAGCCATTTTGGGGTGAGGTTCGTGATTTTTTTTTGCGCTGTGGATGGTTCTGCTGCAGCAAGTCAGTGAAGTTTGACAGGATGATAAATTGCCCTGACTGACTGTCAAGTTCCTATTCCCACTCCGACTGTTTTGTGTTTGCATTTTTCACTTCCTGCCAACCAGCAAACTGCCAACTAATAATACACTTTCTGCATCCAGTGAAGTGTGGCCACAAACTGTTTATTGATACGATAATCTGGGTGTGCATATAAAGTCTTTCTTTATATTCTTTATTCAGAGAAAATCTCACTTTAGGAGGTAATTGTGACATACAGATCATCTTAGTTGACATGCTGCTGGGAGAAAAAAAACTGTGGCAGCATATGTGTGGAGCTTAATGTGCTTAAATCATCATTGGTGTTTTGTGTAACAGTTTAATTACCCGTGTAAAAAATGTACTTGGCAGTCAAGTCCTCGGGAGTTTGGGATGATTGCTACATGATAAGGGCGCTCATGACTGGAAAGCCCGCCCAAGTCCCTTTATCAGCTGGGGAAATCTGGATGTGCAAAGTGACAGTTTCATGCTCGCCCTAACCTTATTAACCGCTGTTGATGTGCCCTTGAGCAAGGATTGTACCCCCGACTGTTACAGTACTGCATTCAATCACCAGCTGAAAATAATGAATGGGAAGCTGCCAAGTTTATGAGTATCAATGAGCTAATTTTAGACCCTTCAGCTCCTCCTCTAGGATTCTGATCTTCTCCAACAACGTTTATGGTAAACTGAAAGCTTAATTTAAAGGAGAAATACTCTTAGTCATACAGTGGTAATACTGCTAGAAGCCACTCCGTCATTTTTTATTTAGCTCTCGACATCTCTACTTACATTACTCCTATAGCTCACAATATCTGGGTGACATGTCAGCCTTTCAGGGTATTGCTTACGCATGGACTCCTGTGCTGTGGTTCCTCGACACTCTTCCATAGGTCATAGGGAGGGGGGTGAAGTAGCCTTTAACAGAGTCTGTTTCTGTCCGGTTTGGTTGGGTGGATAACACAGCATGGCAAAATTGCTTTGATAAGCTCTTTCAATTGAGATTTGAATCCATGGGATAGAAGTGTGACCTTTGAAAAGGCTGACTAGAATACTAGAATACATATTTGATAGTTTCCTATGATAGGACTCAGCTGGGACACATTTTTCTCTTGTTTGTCTTTAAGTAGCTGCTGTAGTGTACATATATCAAATACACACCGTTTTTGTTTGCCTTTGCATTTTAGATTGAAAGGCACATCTTCCCCAAACTTCCCTCCAAGAAACAGACAGTATCATCCTTTACATCAGGGGTGTCCAAACTACAACCCGGGGTCCAAATGCCCATTTTGAAACGACCCTCAGCTAATTCAAATAGTATAATGAAATATGGCCCACAAATTAAACTTGTGCTTGTTAAATATACTGTATATGTACAAATATATATCACAGTATTCATGTGTGCCCACTCTTCAAATAAATTCAATCAATTAAAGTTGGAAACATTTTCAATTTGATCTTAGTTGATATAAAAAGCCCAATCACTTATTTGCATAACAAATCTTTTTATAAGCAATCTGAAGCTTCTGTTTTAAGGCATGAGCTGCAAACTAAATAACTGAAACCATATGGAGAGCTGTGACGTAGGCTGTTTGCATTTTCAAGAATCAAACTTAATTTACCTACATTTGATTGATTTTTTGAACTTATAACTTAGCATATGAGGCAATATACCTCACCTCTAGTGAGGGGCCCAGCCCTTCATATAATCTTCTGTATGTGGCCCTCTGAAAAAAAAGGTTTGGACACCCCTGCTCTACATTGAAGAGTCACTACAGTATGGCTGCTGCAGCTTACTCAAAGCTGGATCCGACAGAACTTGGTTGGTCCTGAACTTAGTAGCATCAGCTAGTGAAAAGTACAGTACCTCAGTCGCTTTCAATTTGAACGATGCAATGAATTATTCAAACTTGGCTTTATATCCCTGCTACATACTTTGAGTTGTGCCTGCCATGTCACATTGAAATTGGCAGCTCTTTAAGAGATGCTAAACAGGTTTCTGAAGGTCTGTTCCCCAGGGATCTCTCATTCAGCATTGTGTTCCTTTCCTCATAGTTTGCAATGAACTGATGCACAGTTCAATGGCTGACACTTGAGCACGCTTTAAACATGATGGGAGGTGAAAGATAAAGAGTTGGACGCTGCATTTTACATTTCCGATATCAACAGCGGGAGCCATGTCTAACACTTCCCCATTCAGCTGTTGAGCTAAGTATTGCAAACTAAAGAGGTGCTCAATGGGCACATGCTTTATTGAAGTGTTAGTGACATGATGAATAGTAGACCCTTCTTTTAAAACTAAAATGTGATATGGAGTTACTGTCACTCTACACATATTTAATAGGTGCTGGCAGCCATAGTTGATTTCATGAGTACAGGAAGCAACCTTTTTTTTTTGTAACTCTTT